CAAAAAGTAATGATTGAAATGACTGTAATTTGATAATCTGGGACTGTGATAATTAGACAGACACTAAAGGATAGAGATATTTATATAGCTATTTGTTGACTTTTTGTCTTATTTGTCCTTCACCCACCGCCAGATGTATGAGCACCAGTTGTAAGATATTCCTTGATTTTATTTCTTGTAGTTTCTACTAGACCTTTCCTTAGTTGATTTCCTAGTTACACAGTCATTAACTTATCATTGGTTATGACAGAAGCAAATCACCTTCTGGTTATGATCATAGAACATCTGATCACAAACTTAATGAGTATATTTGATCATGGCTAACCTCAAGCATACGTACACATTCAGATATATTTCCATAACAGAAGCAGAATTGTGTCCTTCAACTTACTTACAAATGATTGATTCACACATTGCACTCTCTTGCTGACATATTTGTGAGATTTCCATAATTTGTTTTACTTCCATGTACAAGAAAAAGAAAAAAAACAAAATCCAGTAATTATAGCATAATAGCTGTCATAGTGAAAAACCACTTAACTTTATGTAAAGTGAATGTTTGGGAATTTTTAAGATATTTTGAGGAAATTAATGGGAAATATGTTTAAAAAATCTTTATTTTAAGTGATTTCTGCCGAAACTAAATTTCTCTTTAAAAAAAAAAAAAACACTTCCTCAGTATAATATCAGTGTTTCAAACATGGTTGTAATAACTGCATACCAGTGAATTGGGTCACTAACCTAACATTGCTTAGTATTGAATATTGCTTTGAAAAACTAGTCTCCCATCCAAGGGGGAAGGAGGGAGGGGGGGAGTAGCAATGTTCTCAGCTGCTGCTAAAAGATATGGCTGTGATAATATGAGTTATGTGTCAAATTCAGATTTCCATACCGAATGGCATACTTACACAGACATGTTGGTGAGTCTTCAGTTTTAATTTTTGGCATCCAACTGTTTCCAAAAAAGTGAGGGAAATATTTCATGGAAGACTGAAATTGATTGTATTAATTAATTTTTCTTCTCTCTCTTGACCCATGCCGTACTAAAAAA